TACATTAACTGCATAATTTCTTAAATCAAACTTTTTTTTTCTTTTTTTTTTTTCTTTTTTTTTAACAGAAGCATTTCTTAACCCTGGAAGCAGAAAAACAAACAACGCAGGACAGAAGTGCATCATTGTTATGCTGCCCATGAATTGCAATTTATTAAAGCTGCTCTACCTACTGAAATGGTGGGTGGGAATGAAGGGAAATAAGTTAGCTCACCCCTATGTCGAGTTCTTCATATTAATCCTTATGGGATGATYCTTCCAACACAGTGCAGATGTGAGGAAACTTGTCAGCACTGGCCAGGGACTGCTGCTTCCTCCTCCCTTCCCTTGTCCTGAATGACCAGAGGCTGAATTCCAAAAGAGATGAGCCACTGCTCCRGTGTGTCCAGTCCCATTACTAGTACTCTACAAAAGAGGCCACTGCCTGTGCTGACTTCTGTGGATCTGCACAGTCGTCAGAGGCAGGCATTACATTCATCCACATTTTCTTGAATGTATGCCTTGTATTACCATAAAGGGGAAATTAATGATTAACACTGATAACAAGAAATTAAAAGTGTTCTAAAAATGTGATCATCTTATTAGAACAGCTGGTCAAGACAGTTATGCTTCCAGCATGTGTAGGACTCCAAATTGCCTTCCTATGATTTCAGCAATCAGAGAAAACACTGGATAACCATGAAATATATTTTGACCTCAACAGAGAAAAAACTAATCTTGTCAGTGAGAGGGATAAGTGCTTTGTGGATACATAGCTGAATACCATCTGATTTCTGAACAGACCAGTATTTCTTTATCTATCTTTCGAGAAACAAAATAATGAATGGATGAAGGGATCATCTAAACACTTTATTTCAGTTAAAATCGCAGCATATAATTTAGTCTGATCAACAATTAAGAAGGCCAAGGGAAGATCCAACAAAACTAATTTCTATGGAAATTAGAAATCAATTTCTGCAATTGCAGATAAAAGCATCTTRTTAGTTTATCTTAATGAAACACCATCAACAGCAGTACTGCGGTTCACCCACCTACACAAAATCACTGTCCGGTCAGTTCATCTGCTCCACAGGAAAGGAACTTYCACACAGTGGCTATAAACATTGCTCATTTTCATCAGTCAAATAAGCTATAAAAGGGTCACAAAATGGTATGATACTTATTCACTGGTCAGCAGGCATTCTTAAGCTCTGTCATTATTTTACCGTAACGTGAGAGAACTCCTAATCTTTGAAGACACGATATGCCAATGCAGTCATGCCAAGTAACRAAAAGTTACCAATGGAACATAGGAACATGAACAAGTGTGAAGGGAGCTTGTACCATTTTATAACAATAACCACTTTTCTTCCTTTGACCAAGGTAAGAATTAGCATGTCAGTAAATTCTTTATGCTTTGAAAGAACAAGACTTCAGAGCCCTTAAAATCAGACTGTAGCAAATGAAGCTGCAGGTCATTACTCAAAATCTACATGTCAGCAAACCCAGGAATTAAAGGAGAATCTGAAAGCCTCCTCTGGAGAGCCAAAATAGGTTTGGCAGTTAGTCAAAATTTGAGACAGCAAAGCTCCATTTGTCTAACTATATCTTTTATTTCAACAAAAGTAAAATGCAAAAACTTACAGGCATTTTGTATTTGTTTAATGGGGATTACAYGTCCAAGTCTGAACTGGGCAAAGATAATCTAATGCATTTGAACCCAACAAGCACTGATGTGCTGCTAGTGCCAGTTTTGCTCARTACTGTACAAGTGGTTGCTCTTCACCAGTAATTTGGTGTTTTCGAGCAGTTCTCTCACTAGCCTTCCCTTAGGCCCAGAACTCCAAGTCTTCATGTCAAAACAATACCGATGCTTGTTACACCTGAACAAAAAGATTTCCTTCTTTTGCCAAGAGACGAYTTAAGTCAGATTTTGACATTATAGTTTTGAAATAAGTACAGTCACAGAAAATACTGTCTTTAGTATCTGAACAAAGATGAATCAAATGTTTTTTAAAATGMACTGAAAGATCTGAAAAATGATTTAGTAATTCTTACTCATTCCAATTTCCAGTTTTAGAGTTSAATAAATCTCTGCAAATATCTTCCTTCAACACTATGTGAAGCCTTGATAATTTCAAAACTGGATCATGTCCAAGAGATATTACAGACCAATATGCTAGAATTCTGAACTGAAAAGAGCATGGGAGGTATACGTTGCATTTTCTACAGTAAAGCCTTCAAAATACCCACCAGACTCACTCTTCTGTTTTTCCAAGAATACACAACACCTTGAACACCTTCAGAATGCACACACCTGTCCAGGTTCCCATACCAACCTGGCATGTTCAGTTCCATGCAGTCTACACACCACCTTTTTCCCAGGAAGCATTTTTCTTTCTGCCACCTCCAAGGTGCTGGCTGTAGTCTCTGCTGCAGGCAGATCTCCCTAGGTATGACCCAGTCTGTGCCGGTGCTTTTTTTTTCTCTTGTTCACTGACACTTCTGAGACACCAAACTTTATACAAACCCAGCAGAGGCAGCTTCTCTCAGGGGAAGACTAAATGTTCCCTCTCCAGCTGACTCAGGCCCCGAGAGAAGCAATCAGAATTAAAGCCTTCTTTTCTGCAAGACCTAACAAAAGCCCCCTAAAAACTTCTGCTCTTTCTCAGTCAATCTTCTCTTGCTCAGGAGCACTTAAATTTAAGTGCCAATGCTCTTCTTTAAGATGGGACAGGTTATGCCTTTGCTACATAACAATGTACAGCCCCAAAGCTTCCCATTACATACAGGAAAACAAAGTGTTTTTTAAACTAAATGTTTATTTCTCAGTAGTCCTTGACAAAAGGTAACAACTGCACTTCTTATAATAAGGCTTCTGACAATAAGAATTCAGCACAGTTAGCAAAAAGAAAAGGCAGCCACTGCTAAAGGAATAATAAATCTTCCGTCACTGCAAACATGGACAAACACTAAAAAAAAATTACAGATTTATTCAATCTTAGGCTTTTTCTTCTTTTTCAACACAATTTTATATTTTTTAWAGTATTTTCTATTAAAGCTAGATTTAAAATATGTTTTTCATTATCACACACTTTGATCTTGGTCAATTTTGTACCAGGATTGACACTTTTGGGGTAGYTTGAAATACTAAATGCAGTTCTAGAATTGGCCAGTTTCTTAGCCAATAGTTAATTCTGGTTTACTTTGATTSCCCAGTTTTCCTCCTATTCTACAAGGTTTTTCTCCCCCTTTGGTTAATATTTTCTTTGTATATATACACTTTTTGTCATCTTTTCTAGTGTTTCTTCTCTCTTCCTTGTATTTTCCAACACCCAAATTCCATCCTTGGGAATACCCATTTCTCCATCCTTTCCTTCCTTCTCCTTGTGCCCCATTTCTGCCTACTCTTTTTTTTTTTTTTCAGATGTGCCAGCAGATTTGTCCAATGCCTCTTGCTCTCCAAACTAGTCCAGCCTTCATCTCCTCTTCCAGGATTCATCAAACATTGCCCACATTCACAAAGATAACTTAAACCACTCATACAACTGCCTTAGTATGTTCTGTGTCCCCACAGGAAAGTCTGAACTCGCTTCAGACCTGACTTCCAGAACATTAGCACTGGAAACTCTGAGAAAAGGCTCATGAAYAGTGTTGTAGCAAGAAACATACTGTGCCACAAGAATGGTAGAGAAGATATGGCATCAAGAAGAGGATTTCCCCAGCTGCACCAACTACAAAGCACTGCTAATGTCATCAAGCAGAGGGAATGGTGGGGATGTGCTCACCTGCAGACACACACCAGTCTTTGCAGTGCAAGATGAGTGACCTGCCAAGCTCTTGCTAAACAGCCAGACCGAGGATGCGACATCTGTGGGCAGGAGCATAACATYTCCAGAAGATGTTACATTTGCCAGCCTCACACACTATAGTGGGYAATATTCTGTTGTGCAATTGAGACTCATTTCCTCTTTCAGGGTAACAACGTTACTGTCCCAGAGCAGTACAGAATCATTCGCATTTCACTTGAGAACTATGGGGTGTGTTTCGCCTTCAGCGTCCTTTACTCACGCATAGGCTGTTAATGGCTTTATCATCTGAATCTAYTAATTTGCAGCTTGGACACCTTGTGCAAACCTCACAGTATTCTACACACAACAGCACAACCCCTAACAAAGCAACAAAAAAAAAACCACTAAACAACACTCCAAAGCAACAAATCAGAAAATCTGACACAGGAGGACCTAAACTATTCAGGAGAGTCAGCTATTCAAAACATACATTTTGGTCATACTTACACACCCAAAGCCAGGTGCAAACAAACCTCTGAGGGAAACTGTCTGGTTGGGTATTAACCATCCCTGATACAAGCATAAGGAAGAAAAAACTCTTGTTCAGGGAATCCCTGAACAGGCAAATTTCCTCTCACCTAYGAGCCCAGAGGCCAGAGTTCTACACTGTGCAGCAATAAAGTTGCCTGTCAACAAATGGCAACAAACAAGAACTAAGATGACTTTTACCTTTCTCATCCTGCCCACGAATCATCTGGATCTCATGGGTAAAAGTATGACTAACTTGGCCTTTAACCAYTGTAATTCCATTTTTCCTGTTCAATGTAAAAACAGTGGTAAAAACAGCATGAGGAAGGATCAACATAGCTCTCAGAAAGGTGYCTGGCTCTTTCAGTCTTTGTTTGTTTTACGCTCTGAGATTTCTCCCCTCAGTTATACACCATCCTACTTAGACTCATTAGTGAGCATGCAGCGCTAAGCAGCCATGTTTATTTTCAGTGCCACAAGCAAAGACCAAAATCAGAGAGACTACTGATCATTTCAAAGAACAAAAAAAACACCAAACTAAAAAAGAACAAAGATAATGAAACTAAGTTTGACCAGCCCCAAAATAAACCAAATAATTTTAAAGTCTGAATTTATTTCAACAAATATGCAACAAGATTGGCAATTGTGTGAATAACATTTTCAAAAGGRTAGGTATTTTATTAGCTGTGTATTTTCTTACAATTTTATATTTCTTTTATATCTGAAAAAAGGGTTTTTTCCTGGGCTCTCGCTAGTATGCAAATTTCTACCAGAATCAAGCAATACACATAACAGGATGAAAAAAATATTTATAAAGTAGCGTAAAATTCTCTTTTTTTTGGGGCACAGGGAGCGAGCATGGGGTTCCCCCACAGCAGGTAAAGAAGACATTTTTCACAACTCCTTAGCAAACAAGAGAAAGTCCATTAGAATCTATCTTCAGGCTCTTGACAAAGACTCTTGGCTAATAGTACTGGTCTAAAAAGCAGATAAGCCATATAATTTTACAAGCAGCAACCCACTGAATCCTTCAGCAAACACAGCTTGGCAATCTATCTTCAATTCAAAATAATGAGGTGGCAGAAGCGTGATGGAGAAACACGTCTTCAAAAACATCACGTAAGGGAATCCAGCTGCGCTTGTATRGTTTCCAGCTATTTAAAGGAACAAAAAGAGAGAAAAAAACCTCCACTCATAAAATGTTGTTTAGAAACATGCAAACAAAAATATCCAATATCTTCAACTATGCATACTAAATATATTTGCATACCAATATAAAAATCCCGTACTCATGAATATTTGTTTTTACATGAAGCTATTAGAATTCATTGCTGCAGTTTAAATATTCAAATTTTAAAGAAACAGTTGTCTAAATACTACCTCTTTAGCATGCACAGATGTTTTCCTGTGAATTTCCAATGCATAATAACAAGGAAAAAAATAATAGAGTTCATTTTGACTGGATTACGAGCCTAGCATCTTGACTGAAGATGCAACACGAAGATGCTGTTTCCAGAGAGATACCACTGTCAATCATTAGCTACTCCTCCTGATCTAACTGCCAGGTATGCTAACAATGACCTAAGCCCTTTCTRTTCCAAAGCTGAATGCACAGGGTCTTCTTGAAAATGCTTTATGTGATTAAAGAAATCCAACAGACTCAATTTTAGTTGGATCTCTTTTTTCCAGTTTTATTAGACTTAATTCATATAGGCAACGCTTCCTGCTGAGCAGCATAAGGTGTTTACAAAGAAACTATAGTATAGTAAAATCTACAGACCTTGTTGTAGAAATCAAACAGCTCCTGATGGCTAAATTCCACAAACACCTTCTTCAGGTTCTGTAAAGAAGAAAAAAAAGGAAAAAGAATGAAGGAATAAGCATACTCTTTTCTTTTTCTCTTTTTTCTCTTTTTTCCTCCCTCTTTTTTATCTTTTTTCTTTTCTTCTTTTCTTTTCTTTTTTCTTTTCTTTTCTTTTCTTTTCTTTTCTTTTCTTTTCTTTTCTTTTCTTTTCTTTTCTTTTCTTTTCTTTTCTTTTCTTTTCTTTTCTTTTC